GTAAATTAACAGGTGCCCTAAAAATGCAATAGTTGACGTGTTCAGCCACCCAACGAAAGAAGTGTAAACCCACTAATTATCCCCCCAAAAATGTGGCTGTCAGCATATATACAGGTCAGCTCGTGGTGCTGGTGTGAGGTGCTGGCCAGCCAATGACGACACACAGTGACCTGATGAACAACACACCTGGACCTCACCTGGGCCCCCACCACCTTCAGGATCTCAGCCAGGCCTTGCCTCCCCCCACCACACTACCTTCAGGATCTCAGCCAGGCCTTGCCCCCATGTGCCACCATCAGCATTTCGCCAGGCCTTACTCAGTCTGCACCTCTGTCAAGATCTCACCAGGCCTTGCCCACCCTGCATCTCCATCAGGATCTCGCGTCACAGGCCTTGTGTCAACCCATCTTGATGGTTCCCCCCTATCTTTGACCCTCTAACCTTTCCCTGTACAATATCTTTTTCCAAGGACCGGCCCCTCCTGCCCAAAAGATGGGAAGTAATGTTTCACGGTCTTGCCTCCGAGACGTGCAGCCCAGAAGCGCCGTGTGCAGTCCTGAGCCGTCCTCCAAGATCCCCACGAGGGGACAGAGCTGGGTGGCACTGAGTGGCACACCAACTCCTTGACACGGACAAACTCACCCACAGTGAATGAGGGGCCCCAGGAAGACTCCATGTTGGTGCTAGGTGCTGCCAGGCCGGCTACGACTCATCATGGCCTATGAACAACAGCTCTGCGCCCTACGTGTCCTGAGCCCACCGCTGGCACACCTGACACCATTGCCTCAGTCACTGTATCGACCCAGCTCATCCAGAACCTTCCTCTCCTGCGCTGTCCCTCCATCCTTCCAAGCACGATGTCCTTCTCCAAGGACTGGTCACTCTTGGCAACATGCCCAAAGTATGAGAGACGGAGCTTCAAAATCCTTGCCTCCAGGGAGCAGCTTGGTTTCACCTTCTCCAGAGAAGACCTGTTTGTTCTCTTGGCAGTCCGTGGTGTGTTCAATACTCTTCTCCAGCACCACAGCTCAGAGGGCTATGGAAAGTGTCCATGAGTCCAAGATATTCAAAGATTGGTTTGTTCAGCTCTGAAGGGCACCTGCTAGTAAGCTCTGTCACCAGGATTCCAGGACTTGTCTAATCTGACAGGCCACAGGTGACACACCAAAATCAGAGAGGTTCCCTCTCTGCCAGAAAGATACACAGAACCAATGAACTGGACCAGTCAGTTACATTTCCAGAAGGTACACACAAAGCATACCGAGTGAAGACCACTGCCCGCCCCAGCAATAAACACAATTGTTCTTGTCTCTGACGGACCTGACAGGCCAGCCTGCGCGTGTCCTGTCCAGGTAGTCTGTATCTGCGACTGCAGGTTAGGAACAGAGACGGGGTTCTGAGAGGCACAGGGCTGGAGGAGCCACGCGCAGGGCAGCAAACCAAGGGGTGACTTCCTCTGACATCAGATCTGCCTTGTTTATTAGGGCTGGGACGCTGACACCCCTTTATTAGGCAGACAACGTCCCTGTGTTTCTATAAAAGAGCTCATTACCATCCTCAGGCCACACACACAGGCAGCCCGGAGCCTTTAAACGAAAAAAAGCAAAATCAGCCGCAAAAGCACTGTTAACTTTGTGCCAAAAATAAGCCCCGCTGAAAATCTGCTCTGAGCCTTTAACCACATTCTTCCTGAAACAGAGATGGTCTGGTTTACGATAAACCACAACCAAACGCCTGCCTGCACTCCATCCAGAGGCCGCGGGAACCCACTTAGCAAGTGCACGGGGCAGCTGCACGTCAACAGGGGGCAGCACTGGCCACAGGGTGAGGAATAGCCAGCCGCCCCCTCCTCGGGCACCTGGGGCAGGTCCTGCCCGTGGAAGTGGGGGGGTGGCCAATCCAGCAGTCAAGGCGCTGCAGGCCTCGCTGCTTAGGTAAACACGCTGGCTATCAAATCCTCCCAAGTGGGCTTCCTCACAAATTACCCCAAGTGGGGTCAATTTTATTATCTCAGGGTTAATTCATCCTAACCATGGACACATGGCAGAGGCAAGTGTCGAGTTCCAGAGAGCTGTGCAATGTACACAGCGTGTGCGCCCTTTCGTAAACTATGGACTAAATAAAGTGTCCATGCACGTTTATCAGTCGTGGCAAACGCACCACTGGAATGCCAGGTATTAATAACAGGAGGAAGACAGAGGGATGGAGGCCGGGTGGGAAGGCTGCACTTTCTGCATGATTTTTCAGTAAATCTGAAAATTCTGTAAATACCAAGGGAGTAGACAGGTGAGGGGGGGGCTTAATCATAAGGTCACACAATTTGCTCGTGAGCTCTGGTGGCCTGGTGGCAGGAAGCTGCACTGCAATCCCAGAGATGCGCGGTTCAAATCCACCAGATGCTCTGCTGGAGAAGGAGGAGCAATCTCCTCCTGTACCAGTCAGTTCGATGTGATGGTATACACAGAAAATAATAAAAAATTAGGGAGCTCTGGTGACCTAGTGGCAGGAAGCCGCACTGCAATCCCAGAGGTACACTGTTCAAATCCACCAGATGCTCTGCTGGAGAAGGAGGGGCAATCTCTTCCTGTACCAGTCAGATCCGATTTGACAGTACACACATGAAAAATAATAAAAAAATTAAAAATAAAAAAAAAGGTCACACAACTTGATGGGTGGTGGGAGGGGTGGGGAAAGGAAAGGGGAAAGACCTGGGGTGAAAAACATGTATATGAACTTTGTAAGTAAACCAGTATAAAATAAACACTGTACAAGAAAACAAACCAAAACCAAAAATGAAAGTTTACTAACATACATGGGCCTTCAATTACCACAAGCTCATTCAAAGAATTGATTTTGCTGGTAGTCTGTTGTCAACATTTAAGCGGTGTATAAATTGTAAGTCTACATATTTATCGATTCAGTAGTTTGTAAGAAAAGTCACAAAAACAACATAGGAGATAACTTAGAAAAATATTCAGAACAGGCCACCAATGCCCCCACTGCAATCTGCCGTCTGAACAACGCTGGGGTCACAGAGGCTTCAGACGACAAAGAGGCTTATCATTAAACAGTTAGACCAAGGTGGAAAGATCACTTAGTTTATCTGAGGGAACTAGCCCATGAATATCATTAAGGCAAGGTGATATATATTGGACATGACTCTCACGTGAAGCATGTAATCATAGTAATCAAAATCATGACACGCTTTTGCAGAGTTTTCTCAACGGAAAACAGCTGTCAACCAGCCAACCACAGTAAAACCCGACAAGGAACCCGCTCACGGCAGAAGCGCGTCAGACGTGGACAGCTCAGGCTCAGGGGTGCACTGCTACACAACCACCATACACCGTGTCTGAGATCCGATCCAGGTGCATGGCGAGGGCCGTGGAAAAGCTGCTGTCACCTAGGACAGGGGCAGCTGAGCGAGGGGGGAGCAGAGGGGCACCCAGTCCTGGCCACTCTTTCCTCACTTGCCACCCCAAGTCATCTCCTTTGCCTCACCTGCCTGTACCGCACCCCTGGTCCCTGTCCCATACATACTACCAGAGTCTGCACGTCAGGTCTTTAAAACTACAACAGTTTTTCTTTTGCGTTTCAAGGAGAGGAGCAAATGGGGGGGGAGGGGGGAGGGGTTTGTGCGGGGAGAAGGGTACAACAATGAATGAATGGAATCCCAAAATCTCTGTAGATGTTCATTGAAATGAAAAATAAACAACCTAAATTAAAAAAAAAAAAAAACTACAACAGGAAGGTGAGGCAAACAAAAAAGCTATTTCTTAAAAAAAAATTCTCTGTAAATGTTCATCACAATTATTTTTTTTAAAAAAGAAAAGAAAATGGGGGAGAAAGGAACTATAAAAAAATTAAAACTCAATTCAATTAGGAAAAAAAAATTAAAACCACCTTACAGGTACACAGACATAGACACAGCGAGTTGTCTCAACAACCATTTAACAAGGCAGACCTATGGATTCCCATTAACAAGGGCAATACAACATGCCAGGACGATGTCCTACAAAAGGCAGAGAGAGCAGGTGAGACACGGAAAAACATGCAATCCCATCAACTTCCTGTCCCCACAGGTATCACTGTGTCAGGACAGCTGTTCTGAACGACTTTCACTTTTATTCATCCTGACAGTGGCTACCTTCGCTTTCACATACATTATGATAAAACCTGAAACCACACTAAAATACTACCTCATTCAACACTAGAAAGAACCGTCATTTCATCAGCTCTCCTATCTGCAATTCTAATACGAGAATTTCAATGTGAACTATAAAAATTCCACCATGGCCCAGTTCAAACACAAGACCTCAAAGCCAAACGGAAACAAACATTTTAAAACAAAGATCACCTCAGGGGAACCAAGCCAGCGTCTGCACCCCTGCCTGAAATCACCCATCTGTCAGGCCATGTTTCCAGGCACTTGAAAATCCTGTCCAGAAACCAAGGACATGAGGTCAAAGACAGAAGGTGCTTCAAATCCAACACCAGTATCTTAGACAACACATTCCAGTCACAGCTGATAAGATATCACAAAAGCCTTGGAGAAATTGTTTCATATTCCTGTACTTTCAAATATCAAGTTCCAACAAGGTAACAACTGAATAATCACAGAATAAAAAACCAAAACAAACCAACAATTTTACAAACGATTATTCTCTCATTAAGGAGGAAATCCTCTCAAGTTCCTGGTATCGATAACACTTAAAGGTAACTGCATTTGTTAGCCTAGAATGTTAACTGTTATTGTACGCTCCTATTTTTGGTAATTCCTCTCGATTACTATGAACATATTTGCTGAATGTTTCATCTTTGCACAGATAACGAAAACCACTGTCTTCCACAAGCATTTAAGTCCAGACCACAATGATGTTTCCACTAATTAATCAGACTGTAACAACAACAGTTGCCAACAGCTGTTAACACATCAAGTCAACACTTCAAACGTACCTTCTGCAACCAATACAAGTAAATAAAAATCCACAAGTACTTACCTGCAGTTGGGAGGAGGGTCCAACGTGATTTCTGCAAGTTCCTTTTGAATTCTTTAAAACAAAGAAAAGCAATATTAAAATGAGTGCCTCATCACACTGTGAATATTAATCTATTGCACTGAATTATTGTACTTGACCACTAATATGCTCTTTTAAGTCTTCAATTTGCAATACTAAGATTATACATTTCATTTTACTCAGCTCCACAATCAACAGCAGTGACCCAGTATACTGGGAAAACCTGCTGTCAAGGACTTTTCCCAAGTGCTGGGAAGTAAGCATGTCATCTTAAATCCTCAAGAGTGCCTAATCCAAGCCACTGGGTTTCAGTTGCTTCCTATGCATCTGAAAGTAGGACAATGAATAAGAATGGTTTTGACTGGTGTAGGAGAAGAATGCGGAGTATCCCATGGACCGCTAACAGAACAAACAAGTCTGTCTTGGAGGAAGTATAATCAGAGGGTCCCAGAGGCAAACGTGGTGAAACTTCCTCTCAGGCACTTTGGGACCATGTTGGGGTGGGGGGGGCAAGCCCTGGGACAAGATCTCACAGCAAAGGTGGAGGGTCAAGGAGGAGAGGAAGAGCCTCGAGAAAATGGACTGAAATGACTGAAAAAGTGGGCTGAGCAAGTGAGAGACCCTGAGGATGGCAGAGGAGAGGGTCCAGCTCTGCTGTACACGGGGTGGTTACAGTCCACCGGACGGCACCCACCAGAGAGACCGGACGGCACCCAACAGTGAGACCGGATGGGCACCCACCCAGGAGGTTGGACGGTACCAGACGGCACCCACCAGAGAGACCAGACGGCACCCAACAGGGAGACGGAATGGTACCCAACAGGGAGACCGGACGGCACCCAACAGAAAGACGGAATGGCATCCAACAGGGAGACCTGACGGCACCCACCCGTGAGACCAGACGGCACCCAACGGGGAGACGGAATGGTACCCAACAGGGAGACGGAATGGCATCCAAGAGGAAAACGGAATGGTACCCAACAGGGAGACGGAATGGCATCCAACAGGAAAACAGAATGGTACCCAACAGGGAGACGGAATGGCATCCAAGAGGAAAATGGAATGGTACCCAACAGGGAGACCGGACGGCACCCACGGGGAGACTAGACAGCACCCAACAGCATGACTAGATAATGCCTGAGAGAGGATAAGACGAAAACCATGGTTTCTTCTGCAATTCCGAGGATGTACCGACAAAGGAAGGAAGCTCTGGTGGCCCAGTGGCAAGAAGCTGCCCTGCAATCCCAGAGGCACTCGGTTTGAGGCCACCAGCTGCTCTGCGGGAGGATGGGCAATTTCCACCCTTGGAATGAACTGCCTCTGAAAATCACCAGCGATGGGTGGCTCTGACTCTACAATGAACCATCACCACCTACCGCGTGGGACAAGCCTGGACACCATCACTGCATGCAGCCTGTGGAGATGTACGCAGACTAGATTATCGCTTCACGACCACGGATGCCACTCACCACAACCTGTCGTGTGCACTGAGAGCCTGCACCACCCCATCGGAGGCTGAGTCTACTTTCAGATCTACCCTCAAACATCCCATTCAGGACAGAAGGCTGACCACAGGAAGCGGAATCCAAGTCTCCTGACTGTTTCAATAGCTGGAGATGACCACCAGTTATCTCAATCCTACCCTGGAGACGCTTCTTAAAGTTGTTTGTTTGTGGGTTTATTTTTTTTAAAGGTTAACCTTATTCCTCCCAGAAAGCCTCAAGGTTGGAGCACACTGTGACTTTAAGCCTGACACGATGTTCCCTATTAATGGGGCTATCCTACTAACATAAGGCTTAGTGGTACAGAGTTTGAATCCACCAGCTTCTCTGTGGGAGAAGGATGTGATCAATGTCCTCCCAAGTGTGTCACTGTCTCTGAAAGCCCAAAGGAGGGTCAGCTCCGAGTCGGTTCAGATTCCACAGTATAAAGTAACAATAGCAATGATTGAGCAGGGACGTGGGCCACACGCATTCAAAGTCACCAGAGAACCAAACGAGGAAAGATGAGCATCTCCTCCTGAGTGATTTACAGCGCTGGACACTCAGCCCGTGGGAGGGTCAGCCAGGAGTCAGTTCTCACTGACCACGATGAGCTCCCCATTTTAATTACCTAAGCGTCAAAGCGTGGGATTTATAAAGAGAAAAAGCAAAGAAAGCTTTGTTTAAAGAAAGCAAAAAGTTCTTTGTGTAAAGCAATCTTCTTTCAAGTAATTCTGCCCTCTTGTGTTATTTTCTACTTTGATTCTTAAAGGGCACCTAAAAAAAAGCCATATGTATATACACAAAGGATAACCAAGCTAATAAACTTGTTTCTTTTTTCATTTTTTTCCTTTTGAGTTTAACGAACATTTACAGAAAAGTGAGATTTTCATTCATTCATTATTGTACATTTCACCCCCTTGCTCTCCCTTTTCCTTTCCCCCAGTTCTTTTTTTTTACATCTTCACTCACTGTTGTATAATTACCTCCCCCCTAGTCTTCTCTGTGATGATGTATCTCTTATTCTGTGCTATTATACATATAATGCCTAATCATGTATTCATTTTAGACAGTTCTTTCTTTCATCTGTTCCAATGCAATGGTCATTATCTATCCACTCGTATCCTAGTCTCCTCCCAACCCCCCTTGTCAGACCTGCTTTCTCAGTGTTGCTATGCAGTATTTTAAAACAACAACATGTAGCAAGACATCTATCATTCACGTCTCATTAAACACAGGCTTCATTAAGCCAGCAACAACCACCAAAAATCATTCTCAAGCCCATTTCTTCTCCTTTGCCTTGGTTTTAAAATGCTACCTATCAACAGCTGAATGTGTGCATCTGGTAATTATCGTGATACAAGCATGAATGATAGCTGACTAAAACTATTTTTTAGAAAAGAAAAATTTCAAAAAGAACTCAATGTTCAAACAAGTTTGAGCAATATTTTAAAAACATCTCACTACATTTTCAGACTCATAGCGACTCTATGAACTAAAGATCTGAACACTTGGATACCTTCCATCGTTTCTCCAAGTTCATAGAGCTTCTGGAGGCAGGCTATTTCAGAAGTGGATGCCACTCCTGCTTCCAAGCTCATTTTAATCGGGGAGCTCCACCAAACACTGTCCACCATGGGTAACCATTCTCGCATTTGACACATCAGTGTCACAGTGTTCAGCTTCACAGTGACCATGAGTTACCTCTGTACAGCAAGTGGACAGACCAGTGCTGTACCACTTAGAAGAATGTTTGACCAAAAACAATTAAAACCAGGCCTGAGGGCTGCAGATTATAATCACTCACCTTTGGCTTGGTAGCATCACTTTCTATCCACTAGGCCAACCGAGTTCTCTCTGAAGCACATTGAAACATGAGATCATTTCGACCAAGTAAGAAATACTTAAGCAAGAAAAAGAGTTGAAAAGAAGAGCTGATCCATTTGGCATAAATGCCATTCATTGTCCTGGGTAACCCAGGGTTCACAGTGTTAGATCTGTAAACAGTGAATCTAATCTCAACATGCTTCCTGGCCTGGCATTGAATATTTACAGTTATGTAATTGTACAGGCAGCTTATTGGCCTTTTATTTCTAGAAAAAGGCACAGAAAATGGGTTAGAGTTGTACTTCAGATGTAAATGTTATTAACTCATTAAATGTCAAAGTAATTGTGACTTAACAAAACCACTAGAAAGGAGAGAGGGGGCAGATGTGAGGCGATGTAGGAAGAGAAAGGTGTTAATACCTTCCCTTAACAAAAAGCAAGAAATCAAGACATTTGGTTGAATTTGACGGAACAGCAGCAGAAGTTTAAACAGCACATTTAGAGTACAAACACCACCGATGATTTTTGGGATCATCAGTGTCAGGTCCAGCTGCTAACTGAAAGGTCACAGCTGCAACTGTCCAGCTGCTTCACAGGTTGGGCAGTCCCTCAGGAGGGTGACGGCGGGTCTTCAAGAACCTGAATCAAATGCACAGCCTGGGCGACCGTTAACCAGAAAGAGGGGGTGGTTGTTGTTGGTCGGTGCTGTCAAATCGAGTATGACTCAGAGTGACCCTACGAACAAAAGATCTGAGCCCTGCTCTGTTCTGAGTCATGCTTACACTTCCCGAAACGCCACAGCAGTCACCGTGTCAATCCACCTGGGTGAGGTTCTTCCTCTCTGATTTCCTTCCATCACCGACTTTCCACCTTTCCCAGCACCAAGTCCTTCTCCAAGAATGCCCAAAGTAGGTGATGTGAAGCCTCAACATTCCCGCCTCCAAAGAGCACTCTGGCTGCACCCTGTCCAAGACACAGAGGTTCATTCCCTTGGCCGTCCATGGGATGTTCAGGGCTCTTCTCCAACACACAGCTCAAAGGCGTCAGTTCTTTTCCTGTCATCCTTGGTCACTGTCCAGCTCTCAGGTGCACAGCAAAGTAACCAGAAAGACTATGGCCTGAGTCAGAAGCACCTTCATCCGCACACAGACATCACTATTTCTCAATAGTTCGGAGAGGTCTCTAACTGCAGATTTTTCCCAGTGCAATGTGCCTCCTTATTTCCTGACTTCTGGTTAATTGTGGATCCAAGCAAGAGGAAGCTGTTAACAATTTCACTCTCCTCTCCACCCACCATGATGCTGCATATTGGTCCAGTGGTGAGAATTTTTGGTTTCTTGACATTTAGATGCAATACATACCGAAGGCTGCATTTTCTGATTTTCTGCAACAAGAGCTTCAAGTCCTCCTCACTCTCAGCAAGCAAGGTTGTGTCATCTGCATAATGCAGGTTACTGATGAATCTCTCTCCAATCCAGTGCCACACTCCTCTTCACAGAGTCCAGCTTCTTGGATAATACGCTCAACATACATAGAGATTGAAAAAGTATGGAAAAGGAGGGGGTAAGTGGGCTAAATTCTCCTATTTCATGACAAGGAGTTCAAAATACTGCTCAAAGTTAACAACTCCACAAATGAGGTATGATTCAGCCAAAAACTACTTCTCCTGCAGAGCAGCTGGTGGGTTTGAACCACATTCCTTTAGGTGACAGCACCATTCCTTTA